AACGACCATTGTTACCATTCCATTCTAATAATAAAATGTCATTTTCAATGGTATTAACCTTTGTTGCCATTTCATTCTAATAAGAAAATATTAACCACTGTTACCATTACAACAATATCATTTTACAAAAAACACCACAAAAAATTCATTAACTAACAAATAACATGTCACGAATCAGCTGTATGCCTACGCCTAGGCCTACGACTGTATGTCAATGGCGAAAATGGAAAGCGACCTCCAGTATAACTAGGTCCAGCAGAACTAGGTCTAGCTTCGTCAATGTGCTGACCTTGAAGGACATGCGTCATACTCTCGATAGCCTGGTAAAGTCGATAAGGAGTTTAATCCCCTCCTCATAACCAGTGTCAATAATAGGATGTGAAATCTGTAGTGCATGTGCAATATGCTGCATTTCAAAAGAATATCACATTTTAGGGAACATATCAGAAAATAAAAAGTAAGTTACAAATGCATAAAAGAGGATAATATATTACATCAGCATGTTGGCTGAAATCTTGATGGTCATGGACACGCGGTTCATCAGTGTGCTCAACATATAAGTGCGTGATATTCTTATACCTATCCATGTAACCCGGTACATATTCCCAGGCTGACGAACTAGTGTGCTCCTCCGTTGCTTAGATAACACGTGGTTATCCCAAGCCTCCCAGATCCTATCCAAGTATCTGTACATGACTGTATATCATGCAGATATGTTGCCTCGAGCACCATGATTGGGAGCTAACGGTGCATCTGGGATGGTTTGAACCTTGCCAAACTGCCTCAACACTCTATCTGGATAATAGGGTTCGACAACGTCTAAGCACTTTAAGCATCCATGGTAGAACGTAACTGGGTTACATGGATGTTGGTCTCTGCAGCTGTGGTATGGATCCCAAATAACCTGTAAACGTAAAGTGTTTTTGAATTAAAGTATATAAAGGGTAAGATAAATAGAAAGTGTTAAAATTATCTCAAGACAAGTAAACTTACATCAGTAGCTACCAAACTGTCAAGCTTGGCTTGAAAAGATTTCAAATGATCAATGGAGGAACCCGCCTCTCTCCTAGATGCCCAATGGTACACGTGTGGCATGTCTTCATTGTAGCCCATGTTCTGGTGAGGTCGGAATGCTCGGAAGTGCTCATAAATCCATGTCTCCAAAAGAGTCATATAACCACCCATCTGCTTAACCCCGGACCGGCTAGCATACCCCAACTGTCTGTATAAAAATGCTAATTCAGCAGCACCCCAGGCGTAAGTATGAATGGATCCCAAATCCATTAATAAGCCAAGGTAAACAACAGGAACCCTGCCGCCACTCTTGTCACTGAAGAGTGTACATTCCAACAGAAACAACAAATAAGCTTTAGCAGTGCACTGCATAGCCTCCTCGGGGTCTGAATCTGTGACACCAGCAAACTGACTTCGCAACCACTCAAGCCTGACTGAATTGCCACCAGCAGTAGAAATCTCTTCATGTGCTACATGTTCAGTAATCCCCAAGCCAGAAACTAGTAGTGTAACTCCATGAAAATCTGTTACATCTGGTACGCTGACTGATCTGCCTACAATAGGAAGGCTAAGAATATTGCCAATGTATAAATACACATACATACACATATACGTATACATATATTTGAAGCTAAATACTTGTATAACAGAGAGAGTATGAGGAGGAAGAAGAGAAGGCGAAGAGAGAGAGAGTTCTACGTCGCTAATCGAACAGCTCTAGATCCACCTTGTTGTTGGGGTATGTCGATGGAACCTTGTTAAGGATCAACTCTGAGGTGGCGATGGCAACTGCGCAGTAGAGGATGTGTAGGTAGCGAGACAAGGTAGGGACGGCGGTTGGATTACGCATGCAGCATCGGAGCAAAAGCGAGAACGGTGGTGAACCATAAAAGAGACATCGATCAAAGTGAGGATTTGCAGAAGGGAAGATGAGAGTAGAGGTTAGAGTTATGGATTTATCTTAAGAAGATGAGAATTAAGATTTGCAGAAGAGAGAAGAAGATGGCGGTGAAGGCGGTGATGAGACTGGTGGCGGCAACGACAAGGCGTAGCGGTGGGCAACGATGACGACGAGGCGAGGGAAGAGAGAGAGAGAGAGAGAGAGAGAGAGAGAGAGAATGTGCCAGGATATGAGGGGCCAAAATTGATAACATTGCCTATTAAAGTCTTTTGCCCTAAATCATGAAGATTAGGATAATTTTGGCATCCAAATTAGTTTTTCGTTAACTAATATAGCCGGAAATGAATGGAAGAATCAGATTGTAATACAGATAAAATAATGGAGTACAAATTATCAAAATTAAAAATCTAAATTTAAATTGAAAAAAAAGATAAACCCTAATTTTTTTTAATTTTCTTTTTATTTTTTATATCAAAATAAAATGATTGAACTGTCACATCAAATTGGACATATCCAAAGGAGCTGCTATAATAGTTGAGGGTCTTTCTATAATTACTCCTAAGGATTTTTGCGTTTAAAAAAGCATAAAAAATTATCATCATCATCGTCCTATATTGACTCCAATAATGATATGTGTTTCTAAATTAACGAGTTTTAATGAACTCTAATGACATGAATATAATAAGACCTACAACCCATTAAAACTATTAAAACCCCTTTATTAGAGTTATAAAACATTTTTTATTTTGACTCATCCTCGTGTTCTTTTCACTTCACCCACAGACTCTCTCTCTCTCTCTGCTAAAACCCTATACACTACTGAGGGGTCTTTGGGAACAATGATAAAAAGTCAATTTTTTAGTTTTTAAATTTTTTTAATAAAAAAAGTCAACTTTTTTTATCCAAAATAATCTAATTTTTTGTCAAAAAAGT